TTGCCCCCCTACTACAAGGCAAAACAGGCCATAGTCAACATCAAGAATAGAGGAGACGATTGCATGAGGTTAGCTATCAGATCCGCATTGTTTCCAGCTTACACTAATTCGAACAGGCCTTCTAGCTATCCCCAAGACGATGGGCTCAACTGGGATGGTATAGCCGAACCCACCCCCATATCCCAGATCACTAAAATAGAAAAACAGAATGACATAGCCATAAACGTCTTAGGGCACAAAGGCAACACAATGGTCGTGCACAGGGTCAGCCCAATGTTGGGGAACCCCACCTCGTGATCAATATATTCATGATCCAGCGAGGTGATAAGTATCACTACACGTGGATAAAACACCTCAGCAGGCTGTTGCACGACCAGTCGAAACACGTTGGGAAAAAACACTTTTGCGTACGATGCCTGCACGGTTTCAGCCGACCCACCCTGCTGGAATCCCACCGGGAGGATTGCCAAGGTGTGGGGCAGACGGCCATACGAGTCGACATGCCCAAGGAAGGCGACAATATCCTAAAATTCGACAACCACAAGAACCAGATGTCCGTGCCTTATGTCATCTACGAACTTCGCTTCGAAGCCTTGATTAAAAACGTTGACATCGGGCCAACCCCCAACACAGACAAAACACAGGAGCACGAGGCCTGTGGGTTTGGATACGTGGTCGTCCGATGTGATGGGGAAACGAAAGCTCCCATAGTGTACAGGGGTCCCGACGCGGCTGAAAAATTTCTAAAGTGTTTGCAGGGGGAAGAGAAAACTATCAGGAATGCACTGCACACAGTCGCTCCCATGCGTATGACTCGAGCCGACCGGCTAGCTCACAGCTGCAGCACTCACTGTCATGTGTGTGATAAACCGCTGAACGGCGATTCGGTGAGAGATCACTGCCATGTCACCGGTAAGTATAGAGGCACCGCTCACAACGCATGCAACCTCAAGCTCAGAATCAACCCCAAGACAATAAACATCCCCTTGGTCTTCCACAACTTGAGAGGGTACGACTATCACTTGATCATGCAGGCCATCGCGAGGGTTGACGGCAACCTGACGTGCATCCCCAACAACATGGAGAGATACATCTCCTTCAGCTTGAATGGCCTGAGGTTCATCGACTCGGTTCAGTTCCTCCTGTCGTCACTCGACAGTCTGGTCAAATCCAACGATACCTTCCCCATCACCGACCGATACACCGACGCCAAGACTCGACCCCTGCTGATGAGGAAGGGCGTGTACCCCTACGAGTACATGGATGGCTGGGCCAAGTTCACCGAGACCCGACTGCCTCCCATCAGCCGATTTTACAGCAACCTGACCGACTCGACAATCACCCAAGACGATTACTTGCACGCGATTAACGTATGGAATAAACTGGGCTGTAAGAATCTGGGTGACTACCAAGACCTGTACTTGAGAACAGACGTACTCCTGCTAGCCGACGTGTTCGAGACGTTTAGGCGGACGTGTCTTAAGCAGTATCAACTCGACCCCGCATGGTACTACACCAGCCCAGGTCTATCTTGGGATGCCTTGCTGAAGAAAACCGGAGTTAAGTTGGAATTGCTCACCGATTACGACATGCACCTGTTGATTGAGAAAGGCTTGCGAGGTGGGATCTCCATGGCTGCCAAAGGCTACGCAAAAGCCAATAATCAATACGTGAAGGGCTACGACTCAAGCAAGTCAACCAATCACATCCTCTACCTCGATGCCAACAACCTGTACGGTTGGGCCATGAGCCAGTATCTACCCACAGGGGGATTCGAATGGGCATCACCCGAGATCGATGTTATGAGCATCGCGCCGGATTCGAACAAAGGCTATATCCTCGAAGTGGACTTGGAATACCCCAAGGCATTGCACACATCGCACAACAGCTACCCCCTGGCCCCTGAACGTTTGAGGGTTAACCCGGACTGGATGTCCGAGTACCAACATAACTTGATGGGTGGGCGGGTGGCAGATGTTGAAAAACTAGTGCCCAACTTAATGAATAAGGCCAAGTACATCGTTCACTATCGCAACCTACAGCTGTACCTGTCGTTGGGTATGAGGCTGACCAAAATACACAGGGTGCTCGTGTTCGACCAGAGCCCCTGGATGGAGCCCTACATCAGAATGAATACGGACCTGCGAAAGCTGGCCACCAGTGACTTTGAGAAAAACCTCTACAAACTCATGAACAACTCGGTGTTCGGTAAGACGATGGAGAACCTGAGGAAACGCGTGACCGTGAAGCTGGTTCGGTCGAAAGAGGATGACAAGCTCAGGAAACTGATAGCCAGCCCGAGATTCAACCGGGGAAAGATATTCACCGACGACCTGGTGGCCCTACACATGAAGGAGAGCCACATCAAATTCAACCGGCCTGTTAACGTGGGGATGAGTATCCTCGATTTATCCAAACACCTGATGTATGACTTTTACTACAACGAGCTCAAGAAGCAGTACGGCGACAGGTGTGAAGTGCTGTACACTGACACGGACTCCCTGCTGATGGAGATTCGAACTGAGGACATGTACGAGGACATGGTAAAACACATCCATTTATACGACACCAGTGACTACCCCAAGGACCATGCCATGCACAGCACGGTTAATAAAAAGGTCCTCGGTAAGGACGAGTGTGCTGGCACGCCCATAGCCAAGTACATAGGCTTGAGGCCCAAGATGTACTCCATCCTGAAGGCCGACAATGGTGAGATCCGAAAGGCAAAGGGTGTCAAGAAGTACGTGGTGAAACAACACATCAAACACGCCAGATTCAAGGAAGCCCTGTTCAAGACCCGCACCTTCAGACATCAAATGAACACGCTTAGAAGCGATGGGCACAGGATATACGGACTGACTATAAACAAGACGTCCCTATCACCGATGGGCACAAAGCGTTGGATAGCCATCAACGGGATCAACACGTACGCGTACGGGCATGAGAAAATTGAACCAAGAACATAGGTATATATAAAAATACCCTGTCGACAACGATGTCACGGAACCAAAGAAACTTTGAGGCTATTTACTACATCCCGTGTGGGTACTGGAAAGGAGCTAGCGCCGTACATAAGCTGGCTAAAATGGCGCGAGTACCCCCGGACGAGGCCAAAGCGTGGCTTATTCGGGCATCAGTATGCGAGAGAGATGGCCAACCTGGGAAAACGATCGACGGAATGGGTAGCGCGGCTATCTCAAGTGGTGTCGGCTATCAACCATGAAACCACTCGGCTAACCGGCAAGAAACCAGCCGACGCTATGAAACTGAAATCAGTGGTGGCTGAGTCGGCTGCACCATCGCGTGGGAAGGAGAAACAGATACCCGATAGGGCCCTCGTGAGGTATCTCTACCAGCCGGGGGAACACAAAGGGGACACCGGAAACGAGCCACCGATCCGATATGGTCAGTCAAAACTTACAACATAGATAAAGTGGACATCAAAGCCGACGAGCCAAACTTGTACTACTTGAAAGATGGGCCAGGGAGAGGTTTCGTTAGAGAGGAATTATTAGTCATACCGTACGGCACAATGTTACCCCCCAAGCAAAATATTTAACACTTACCAAGTAATCCAAATAGTATCCTGTAACCAGCTCATTCACATTAAACTGTTTCATCGAGGTCAACACGACATAGTGTCACGTGATCAGGAAAGTGCTAGTTCGCGGTCATAGTGACACAATAGTGTCACGTGTGGCCGGGAAGTTAACTAGGGATTCAAAAGTAGTATATACGATGGTGGCGAGATCTAAGGGTCTGACAAAAGCTTTATGGATGAAATAAAGCTTTACAGAGGCTTTTGTTGGACTTGATCTCGGACTATCATTGTATATACTACTGGGGTTACTCAATCTTTCTTCGGGTGGAATAATGTGCCACCTACCGACATCAACATCAACTCAAACAACCATTAACATTGTAATATGAAACATTTAGTGTTCTCAACTAAACACCTGAGACACTGAGACAGAAGATGCCTGTTTAACGTATCTGATGGACTTCTTTCATTGTTGGATATCAACAAAATTTACTAAAATATTCATTGTCAGATAGTACCTTAACACAATATTAACTCAAACAACCATTAACACTGTAATGCAACTGGACAATATAAGCATATATAACCATTATTTCATTGTTCTCATTGTCTTTAGAACCCGCTCAAAACACGCTCTGTCTTCTCATTACTTACTCAATGTTCTAAGTCCACATACTGTTCTCAATCCTTACTCAACGTTCTCAATCTTCTATGTTCTCATTCCACACCTTATGTTGTTCGCCAAACACTTATGTTATCTGTCCACACGCTTATGTCACAACCTATTCTCTATTCACAACCTATGTTGTCTACTCTCAGCCTTCGTTGTCTATCCACACCCTATCTTGTGTATCCACATCCTATATTCCCTTCTATTGCCCTATGTTGTCTATCCATACCCTATGTTGCCTATCCACACCCTTTGTTGTTTATCCACATCCTATGTTGTCTATTCTCACCCTACGCTGTCTATCCACATCTTACGTTGTCTATCCACACCCCATGTTGTGTATCCACACCCTATGTTGTCTATCCACACACTACATTGTCTATCCACACCCTATGTTGTCTGTCCCCACCGTATGTTGTCTGTCCACATCTTACGTTGTCTATCCACACCCTATGTTGCCTATCCACACCCACGAACATTCATAGCGCTGTGGTGATGAAAACTGGAAAAAATAAGGGAGTGCATGCAATTTCCTGTGAATTTTATTTGTTTCTCTCAGTATATGTGACTTAGGACGTGGAAACCAGAAAATGCCAAAAGTCAGATAACTTTTGTGTTTATTTGTGATTAAAGTAATGTTGTTTCAGCTCAAACCAAACTTAAGTGTAGTATAACAGTGCAATTGCAACTTTTAATCTTTGGATATTTACAATATCATTATTGGAAAGACAACAACTACAATCGTCCAACCTAGTGGAGAATGGGTGTAATATATGTGGAAGGTTTTACCTTTATTCTGTGTGTTCACCAGCGTCAGACTGGTATGCTTGTCTTCTTCATAAGGAGGTTTTAGAGCAACAGACCCTGTCAAGTCCCTTGCGTCAGTGGCATGAGACATCTCTCCCACATCAGTAACAGACTCATCAAGATGATGGAATCCTCCAGCCTGTAATTCACAAGAGGAAGGAGAACTTGCATGTGTGTAAAGGACAAAACTGCAGGCTTTCAGTATATCTGTTCAATGCAGATGGCAATAGTGGAACGAAGGCTTTGTAGTTTACCTTGAATATTAAGTCATTAATAGTTAACAAATTGAACTGAGCTTGATAAAAACAACCGAGACAGACTGGTATATATACCACTACCTAGAAATTCATTCCCCTTCCATGCATTGAGAATGAAGTAAACATGCATGTGATAACGATGGTCAACCCATGTGCACCCACTCAGCACCCGTGTCACACACATGCAACAAGTGTGGAAAAAGATAGATACGTATTCAATGCTGCAGGCAGCAGCTGAGTTAAAACAAAGGTTAAGAGTTGGTAAATATTCACATGAAATAAATTGGATGAGGAATGAGAACTTGGAACATTATCAATAGTGATGATAATTCCTAGAATACAGTAACACTTGATTGCCCTTTCTGATACGCATTTAACTTTAATAAAAGTCCAAGGTTTTGTTATGTCTTTCTTCCTTGTGGCTCCAAAATCTATCCACAAGGGTTATCTACCCTAGCGGAAACACAGGAAACCTCATAATTTCTGGGAATAGGTGGGTGACCCTTTACCACAAATGTTAGAGGTTAATATTCTAAGAATCATTATCACTGTTGATAATGTTACAGTGACGTATTTGTAAGAATTTGTAACGCTTGATTGCTGAATCCGACATAAGGCTTGATGGTACCACCAATCTAAGCTATCAAGACAACCATAAAACACAAAAATCTAAATGTTAACTGATAAGACAATAGACATACTGTTGGTTGTAGTAACAGCACACAAGAACATTTCTTGCGGCTTTATTTAACATTATGGTGGAATATGACATAATTTCCGGTTAACAGTGCTTTTGATGATGTCAAGATGATGTCACTTCCGATATATATCCTGTCAACTCTATTGTGAAACTAAGTGAGGTGAGGTGAAATTGGGTTTAACGTCGTGCTTGAGAATATTTCACCCATATGACGACGTGCATGTGTGTGTATGTGTATGTGCGGCTGCCTGTACTAGCCGAGACTGAAGCTGGTTTTATAGTGCTAGCCCACTGAGATACCATGCCGTAGTGAAGCATGAATATCCTGACATTATACTGACTCCGAGCCGACCAGTCCTTGTTGTACCCATTAATGCCGAGCGCCAGGCAGGGACGAACAAGTACCATATTTTAACGTCTTTTGGTATGACGCGGCCGGGGATCGAACCCGCGACCTTCCGCTCTCTGGGTGGACGCTCTAACCACTACACCACGGAGGCGGTCGTAAAACTAAGTCAAATCCCTGACTGGATATAACCTGCCCGAAGGTCACTGTCCAAAGAGGCAATAGCTGGGTTAGTAGTAAAGGCTCATTGGTAAATTTGCTTCTTAGCAAGGAACTCCAGCAATACTCAAATACCACCCAAGAAGAATCCTTAAAAATCTGAATAAATGTATGTCCAGAGCATGCCGTCCTTCAATCCTCGAAGCTGTAGCTAATGTCATAAGGAAGTCAGTCTTCCATGAAAGATGGGATAAGGATGCTTTCCCAAAAAGGTTCGCAATAATCCTGATAAGACCACTGATAAATTCTACTTTGTAGTCATACATTGTGTTGGGATATCCTCTAGTTGAAAAGAATGCAGATTAATGGTATGGGTTCCTTCACGTTTTGATCAAGGTTTTGCCTGTTCTGTCAAGACTTTCTATGGATGAAACATGGACACCGGCCAGCTTTGGACCACGTTTGTGCCCCCCTTATAAAAATAAGGCCTCCCAGGCAATAGCAGCCATTGTATCCTGAGACACAAGAGCAGCATAAAACCCCCAAGATGAAGAAGATTTTGTGTTTGTATGCTCGTTGGGGGCATACATCAAGTCCTTGTGTCAGCAACGAGCCGTATCTCGCCTGCACTGTAAACCATCACACGCCTGGATGTGTCGTAATAGAGTTGGACGAATCAGCTACTATACCACCAAGTTTGCTGTGAGAACAGAGACAAAACTTGAATGGACCGTGAGATGCTGGGGAATACATATGCCAGGCGTCTTACTATGGACCCACTATGGACCGTCTACAAGTTATTTTGTTGCATTGTCCCCATTTTACTACGGTCTATCAGGTTTCTCACTCATTAGTACCATGGCTGCCGTGGCAAATTTTTGAACAGTTTAATCACAATTAAAATCACGCACTGTCACATTTGCTCATTCAGTCCCCCAACGTTGTCTCACGTCTATCCCGTATTGTCCCCGTTTCTGTGAAAGGGGGCTGCCATGGCCACCGGGGACATAGTGTAACCCTAGCATTACACTGACAGCTGAGAGTGAGGTCAGTGCCTCCAGTGTCTTTTAACCCAGTGTCTTTTAAACTTAAAAACGTCTTGTGGAACTTGTGGAACTGATGAGCATTACAAACACTCAGTTGCCAGTCCACTTCTTAGATCTCCACTTCCAGTAGGGCAAGTGCCTCCACTGTTTGGGCACAATAAGTATTACAAATTCAACAATGTATGACTACCAAACTCATGCAGTGAACACATTCAGAAGAAAGGTATGCCAGTCCAAGTTCACAATGCTGCCACCAGCAGACAGAAGAGAGGACTTCTTTCCTGTGTGTGTGTGCTAGATTTAGCAGAAGATCTATCAGTATCATCTTAACTGTTAATGGATTGGTCACAGTGAAGAGGACTTCTGCTGAATAATCTAAAGATTTTACTGCATGATATCAGTTTAATTCATGGAATCAAGCATTCATTTCACAGTGGTTTATTTCAAAATTACTAATTATACTAAAATATCAAATTTGGTAATACCCACTACAAAAATGACTTGGTTTCCTGAAATCTGGAAACCATCCGTGTACTGGGTAAATGGGGAATCCAGTTGGTTTCCATTCACTGAAACTGAGTAACTGAGTTTCCAACTAGATTCCATTTTGGATTCTTTGATATTTGCATTTCAGTAAATGGAAACCAACAGGAAACTAAGGTTAGAGGTTCCTTGTTGGTTTCCATTCCTGGAATTTGCAATTGAAGGTTTCATGAAATGGAAACCAACATAAAACCAGAAAATGTAGTTTCATGTTGGTTTCCTGTGCACTGTTTTGAACTGAGTAACTTAAAATTTGCAAGTATTTGGCATGAAGTTGACCATCCTGGCATCCAGTTGGTATCCATTCATTGAAACTGGGTAACCTAGTTTCCTAATAGAATCCATAATGGATACTGTAAACTTATAGTTCCGGTAATGGAAACCAACAAGAAACTATGGTCATGTGTATACTGTTGGTTTCCATTCCTGAAACTTAGTTTCGAAGATTAACTACTTTCATATCATATTACATTATCAGTAATTGCGTAGAATAATTATGAAGTCTTAAAATTCAAAATGAATATGCCTGGGGAAGGAACAGCAGATTTACATTTGAAAGAGTACGTAATTTGTAAGATTGCTTAGATGAACAAGAAGAAAGGTTACCCCAAATAGTTGTTGACGCATTGGTCAACTTTATATTTACCTGTTTTTGTTGAACCAAGATGTTGAGTGTGTGGAAAGAACTGATATTGTGGGACACCAAATCACTATACTGTTATAATTTTGATATATATGACACATGAAGTGTTTCACTTGTGTTCGACAATAACTGTGAAGTCTGACAAGCTTAGATGAACAATCCTCAGTTATCAAATTTTATCATTTATTACAATCTTAATTGTTATTAAATACCAATTATTTATCGTCATTTCATATCATGGGGAATTTTGAAAATCTAAATAGATGGATGATATTCTACGATGAGTAACAATTTTCACTGTAGTAATGAAAAAGCTTAAACGTCAAAAAGTGAAATTTGAGAGAAAGCTCGGTTTAATTATTTTTGCTTTAGAATGTGAAAGAGTATAAGCATTTAGGAAGTTTAGTATAATGTAATTCAAACAATTGTCAATCCGGTACATACATTACGGATTTCTCAATAACTAGAATATCAGGGAATTGTACTATGAATTGAGGTTGTGAGTAATGTTTACCATTAAAAGCATTTAAAGTTAGTATAAGCTTTGACAGTGAGTTCAAGTACTTGACAAACAATCAGTGTCATGTCATTTGTATGTCGGGGTCTGTGTGTCGGCTTCCTTGGGGTTGTCTCGTCTTAACGGGCACCTATTATCAAAATTGAATTGTTGTAGAAGTAATGAGTCGGTAATCCGTGGGCACGAGCGAACTCGTGACATTTTATAAAAGCAATGTTTTTATGTACTGAAGTGGTCATTTTCGTCTTTTATGTCTTGAAATCACAACCAAATTGGGTCAGATAATGTTTTCATACCTGCCAATCGAAAAGGGATTAGGTATTTGTTATTACCCACAATGCTCCTACACACAATTGCCGCCATTTTGTCACTTGAACTCATGAGAAGTTGTTTTGAAAGTGGGCCAAAGTGTCTCCTGTTTTTAACAAAACAAGGAACCCAGCACAATGAATTATTCCTTGGCTTGTCCATGTTATCTGAATCAAGAAAATGGCAATGCGAGTTACACTAGAAGCTTTGGAGGCTCGGGTACGTGAAAACTTGAAAACAGGAGCAGTCGTCGATCACGGAGGGAGAAAGGGAACATTCCACGACCATGTCAGGTACAGTGTAAATTTCTTGAATTAAGCAATAGCTCATGTTATGTGTAACGTTTAATGTACATAAGTAGCTAGGACAATAAATATGAAATTAAAGTTATAGACTTGATGGAACTCGATAAGCAATTGCGTGTCGAAATGTTGGCAAGAGATATGGCTTCCTTTACTTAGTCAACTCAAGAACTCGATTGTGATTTGAATCAGGTCACATACGACTAAATGGTTCATTACCGTAATTTATGAAATATTGTCTTTGCAAGAACAATATGAACCACAAATATATCCAGCAATGTCATGACTCAAGATAACTTCCAAACGTATTTAGAAGTATTCGAATATTATTGCAAGAAATCCAATGATTGGAAGTTCTATTTTAAAGTTTGTTATTGATAATTGCTTTTGATATTTGTACCACTGAAAACAATTCAGTGGGGATAGTGAGTCATTTTGCATTTATAGGAATTCTCTGACTAGATTTGGTGCATGGTTAGAGTGAAGTTTCAAAATTCTTTGTCTAGTTATTAGAGTTACATGACAGCCTATGACAAAAAAATCGACAATATTTTTCAGCCAACTTTTAAGACGATATTTATCATGATACTATAATGCTGTTGAGTGGATATATTGTCAACACAATCTTTTTGGAAACTGTTTTTTAAAAGGTTTTCAAGTCAGTATAGGATAGATTACTGATGTATGAGGTAATTTAGTAAACAATTTTACACTTAGAATGTCAAGATATTTAACTCTGAATGAAGAGATGTGGATTTTGTTAGATCCACAAAAGAAGTTTGCAAAGAAAGTTGGATATATAGAACGTTTAATAGGATATGTTGGGGATACATTGATGTACATTGTCAACCTAAAATTATATGAACTTGTTAATTTTGCTTCTTTTGATATTAGCATATCTACACCTTGCAAATTGATATTTATTCTTCTATTTTCATGCCTTATTGTGATCAAGAGTACAATATCACTTAGAAAGTTCCTGATTCTCCCCTTAATTTCTATATTTCCAGCATTCCATTGGGGCAGTGTTGGAAAAACTGAAGATGACTAACTGATCTTGACCTGCAACAGGTATGTGTAATCCAAACCCTTGAGTAAATGATGTACATAAAATTATCCAAATAATGTAAATCCTATGAATCATAAAATACATAAAAATTACACAACCACTATTTTCGTAACTTCCAACTGGAAATATTTTCCACTTATACACATTTCCTTTCAGAAGCAGTTTTGGACGAACAAGAGGGTTCGTTCACCTAGAAGACAAAGAAGTGGGAAAGCAGAGGCCTTTGTCCGAAAGAACAACAAAAGATTCAGATGTGTAAGTAAATTCTAACCGTTCTCAATTCTAATCTTACACAGGTTAAAATTTAAGGAAAACCTTATTTGCAAAAAAATCAAGTTAATGTAATTTCTTGAAAATGTACACTGATATTCCAAAGAACTTTCAAAATAAACACTGTTTAATACGTGCAATGCATAATTAGAAATATGCAGCTAAAAGAGTTGTAAATAGTACATAGTAAAGTGCCAATGTACATTATGTTTTGGTCTGGACATATTTCACCTTGCACACATCAATTAACAATTTATTAACAATACCCCACTAAATAGTAGCTGCAAACACATTGTCAATAGCAGTATGATTTATTAGTTATAGAGGTCCGCCTATGACCCCATTCAATTTCTTGTCTGCCAGAATGACCCCACATTTTTTTTAAACCCAAATATTTTTTTTCACATTATTTTCAAAATAATGGATAATTCGTAGTTCTATACATATAATATCAAAGCACAATGCATGTAACGTTCAGAAAATAAGTTATAGCTTTCACATGAGAATTTCTCGGAAATATAGGCAATGATAGCATGAATTTAGTGTGCATTCCTAAGAAATGTTATTAATTCAATGTCAATGTTTTCTACAAGTCACAACTGTTATTTAGTGAAAGAAAATCTTTTTTGTCAGTCATCAAATGTCCAACCCAAGCTAAGGAAATACGTCTTTCTCTCGCTTGTCTCTCTACTCTTACAAATTTCATTAAGTTCTTCTGCGATTGAAACTTTTCAGGTCAAATGATCAGTTTTTATTTATTGAACTTCGTGCTTATTGGACAGTGGTTACAGTTTATTTTTCCTCAAGCTTAAGGAACATTGGACAGTTTTCCTTTCTCCAGCTAGCGATATTGTTGACGAATGCTTGTTTGTACTGATTGTTTATTGTTTTCTAACTTTCAGAAGCTGGAAAGCAGGAGGAAGGTCCTGACAACGATTGACTGGCCGGAGAAGAAACAGAAAGCTATTCCTCTCTTGGGGAAAGAGTTAACATTTCTCAAATTGGAAAACCAAATAATATGGATTCATCTACATTGATGAGTTTAAGAAAACATCCCATACTCACTGCTATTTATTCCCTTATTGCTTTTAATTATTTATGCATTTTGAAAATTCAGTTTTTATTAATGTGAACATTCCAAATATCAGTTGTTTATCAGCAAATTGTTGAATGTAAATAAAGCTATCATGACTTTGTGTTTTATTCTGTTATTTGTCATCCTGACGGTTTTACCATTGTGCAATTGTATAAAATACCTGATTTGGTATGTGTGTTGCATGAAACACAACATCTTTTCTGGAGGAGCGGGTAAGGGGCCATCACAACAGATTCAGTTTCATGGAAACCAGGTTATAAGCTGGGAGCTAGGTTGGAAACAACAATAAACTAAGCACCAGCAGGAGCCTCCATGAACGAGTGGGCAAAGTCCCGACATGGATACTATCCAGATACTGGTGCAAAATGTAGTTTCAGTTTTAATGGAAACTAGGTTATAACTTGGAAACTAGGTTGAAACCTACAACTAACTAAAACATGTAAACCAGGTTGAAACCTACAACAAACTAAAACATGGAAACCAGGTTGAAACCTACAACAAACTAAAACATGGAAACCAGGTTGAAACCTACAATAAACGAAAACATGGAAACCAGGTTGAAACCTACAATAAACGAAAACATGGAAACCAGGTTGAAACCTACAATAAACGAAAACACGGAAACCAGCTGGATCCAGCTTGGAGGAGTGGGTAATGAATCGCACTGGAAACCAGCCGGAAATGGTGCAAAATTCAGTTTCAGTTTTCATGGAAACCACAATGAAACTATAGGAAACTACATGGAAACCAACTGGAAATGGTGGTTTCCATGTCGTTTCTTCTCAGTCTCAGTGTTCTGGAAACCAACTTATTTTTGTAGTGACCCCATCAACACTTTGTCAAATTAATTCACATATCAGTACAGTTCTAGACTGGTCAAACCTACTTTTTGCATTATTTGTCTTCAATGGCTAGATCACAGAACCTATATGCATACAAATTAAAGATCATGTTCATATTCCAAAATGTGATGCTACATTATGGCTTAAGCTCTAAATAACTTTGAATGAAACAATTTGTGTATGACAGTAGATGCAGTATAATCATATTTTTTGGCTTTATTGGTATCCCATATTGCAAAAAAAACAAATATGACAATGATACACACCTGCAGTCTCCTCTCTTTCTGCTCATTCCTCAGGTCTTCGATTGTTTTCTTTACTTCCTGGAATGATATTACATAAATGATTACAGTTTAGGAGTGATTGTCTAAAACAACTACATGTATTTCAGTGCTTGAAGAAAAGCTCATGCTCAATGGCAACACAATTGCAGAAAGTCAGACTCCCCTTTGTATTTTCATTACTATATGTATGTTACATTTCTGCAGGCTTTCAATCACTTTATAGGCCACTTTGGTCTTTTATCTAAGGATTTAACTTGCATTTGTTGATGTCCATCAGCAAAATTCATCAAGTTACAGATCTACTCTGCTATCTGTGCCTTCTCACCCCTCTAGTATATAAGCTTGATGTATTGAAGTGCCAAAGAAACATCACCTTTCAAAACCAAATACAAAATTTTGTTCTTAGAAAGTGGTGTATTTATTATGATTGTACCGTTTCTTAACATGTTTTTCAATCCAAATTGACAGTTATTACCAATGTCAGTATATCCACAAAATGCACATAAATAGGCCGACGTGGTAAAAGATTCCGTATGACATTCATGAAAATGAAATGGACATGCATATCGTGACAACCCTACCAACGAAAGTCCGAAACTTGCCTGAAATCATTTTTGTTTTCACACAATTGCCATGCCACCACTTACGAGAGAACAAAGGAACCAAGCCTTCGGGACATTGCAAGTTAGCAAGACTGCACCGAGGAAAGCCAATCATTTTAATGTGTGTTCATGATGGGACAATCTACGGAGTGCAGGAGTGGTTTCAGGCCACTGACAGCATCCAAAACTGTCCAAGCAGTGGGCGACCTTCCGTAACATCACAACATCAAATCAACAGATTGTGTGCAACCATCTGTAGGATCATTTCGCCAGAGCAACGGAAACAGCACACCAGGTCATTGGCACTCACAACAGACACATTAGTGCCGATACAGTGCATCAACGTTTGCGCATAAGAAACCTCTGTTGTCACAGACCATATTGTGGTCCTGGCACTACCAAAACCGACTGCAATGGGCAACTCAGCATCGACAATGGAGAACTGTGCTTTCTTCTGATGAAAGCCGATATTGTGTTTTGACAGCTGATGGCTGAGTGGGAGTATGGCAAAGGTGTGGGGAACTGATTCCAATGAGAGTATTGTTGAAAGAGAATTGTGGGGTGGTCCGAGTATCATGGTGTGGGGTGCAATCAGTATTAACTAGAGAGTTGGCACCATGGTGTTCCAGAATCTCTGTCCAGGATGAGGAAATAGTTGGTCGCTATATTGACCAAGTGATAAGATTCCATGTTGTACCACATTTTGGACGTCACAGAAATCACTTCTTCCAGGGAGACAAAGCTCATGCCCACACTGCCAGAGCAAATTGGACTTCCTCAGACAACATGTCATCCAAAACCTACGCTGACCTGAACTCAGTCCGGATTTACATGCAATAGAACAACTCTGTGGCAAGATTCAATGAAGACTGAATGACCTCCAACCAAGGACGCCAACTGCGTCTGGACTCGATCAGACATTTCGCAGAATATGGACCCAAGTGCCTTTGGCACTCATTAACCAGCTAATTCATTCCATGTACAGGCAATGCAACACTTTCATCGATGCCCAAGGAGGCCACACAATACTTACTTTAGGGTATATTAATGGTACCTTTTTGGGTGATTTTGTGATTGCCAAAAATGTGTAAACCATAATTCTCCAGAACCATAAGTCTGAACTCAATCCTCCATTTTGAAATCAATCCACACGCTATGAAAATTGTATATTTATATACTTATCCTATCTCACATGATGGATTCCCACCTGCCTGACCTTCCTCACCTTCGCAGACCACAGATTAGTTGAAGCTTCAAGGTGAGAATGACAGTAATGGGATGTCATGTGACTGTCCTGGGCACTTTGCATGCTTTACAGGGATAATTGACCTGTCCAGGAATGGGAGCAGTGTGGGAGAGAGAGGCCAGAAGATTTGATTCAAATTAGCCTACAGCACGTTTCCACGCCATGGTCGAAGTAAGGGAGAGACGTGCATACCATGAGATAGGATAAGTGTATAAATATACAATTTATGGTTAAAATTTCTAAATTTTTAAACGTATCCTATCTCACGGTATGCATTTATCCCACGGTTGGATGGTGGGCCGCAGATTACCCTGTGTCAAACATATAACAACCATGAAAGTTGCATAGCACAAGGAGGCCTGGAGAAAGCACCAACTCCCAATATGCTATACTCCAATACTTGTGATGGGTTGCTTCTTATTGATAAACCCTATGGCTTCGGTGATCAACTCGTTTAATGCTCAGTACCAATCATTCATCATAAAATGAGAAAGGAACCAGTAGGAATTCGGAAATCAACACTTCATTGACGTAACTGCTCACAAGAATAGAGGTCAGTAAGTGGAGTGTCGATCCCCTTTGAATGAAGTACAAGACAAGCCTCTCAGTCTATAGAGTCATGGGTATGACAGTACTACAATGCCCTAGCTACACCAGGTGAGGGTGATCTATGCCCAGGATAAAGTAGAACAAGACAAAAAGATAACATCAATACCTTCTGTTGAACTACAAGGTAGCAGTACCATTGTGAGGAAGGCTGACACTTCATCTGTGTTGATGGGCGAAACAAAAGTTGCTGCGCTAACACCAAAGGCCCAAACTGGTGTAAGTCCTCCAAATTTAAGTGACAGATAGATCTCGTAGACAGTGTGAGGCAAAGACTGTTATGGACCTCCAGAAACAAACCTCCATGGTGACGGTAAGAAAACAGTTGCTCAGTAGTGCCATCATTGAAGCCAAAGCTTGTGTCTTGTGAGGGTTCGCAGTAGCAGGCAGATTATCATAGGCGTAGGCGCATAGCATAGTTGACCGCATCCAAAGCACGTGTTGTATGCAAGACTTTTGTTGATGAAGCTGGAAACAATGAGATGAAGAGTCTCTAATGTAGCCTACACTGGTCTTGAGATGCAGAAAAAGGTACACTTGTAATGCCCTAACCAGGCAGAGCGAAAGAACATCAGTGTCATCGGGCCCCAGTATCGTGGACAGTGGTGGAATGACGAAAAGTCTCTCTGGCTGTCCAGGAAACAGATTCATGGCAATTAAGTCCCATATTCTGTCAAGAAAGACTGTGCCATGCCTCTTCCGTTTCGCTCAAAAGCGCACTTGTTTGAGGCAACAAGTTCCAAGATGCACCCAAAGCTGTGGTCATTAAAGTATTGATGGCTACCAGATACATCACCAACTTGGATCTATCAAGTATCTGGCAGTACGCAAGTGCAACTATCTGAGGTGAGGGTGTGATAGGGAAATTGATGTCCTTTGCCATACAATAAGCCTCAAATGCTTCCATTTGTCATGGTAGGGACTTGTGTAAAGGTACAATAAGCTATAGTAATAGCCGTAGCCACTCGCTTCTAGTAACACTGAGTGACCAACTTCTGGGCAGTCAATAAGGCGCGACAAAAAAGCAGTGTAAAAGCCAATGTCAATCGGAGTTTGAGCAAAAATCATGGAAGTAATGCAAGTGGTGGCATACGTGTTGAAGCCCTCCCAGCCTATTGGTAACACATGGTATTCCTATGCTAATTGATCCGGGAACCAGGAACACGTAGCTGAGTGTTGAATCTGGTTGCAAACAGGTCCACCACTGAGCTCATAATTGGGAAGCAGTGAGTCTTGAATATCTGAGCATGTAGCTTTCATTGGCTGTCGGGGATGGTCAAGCTGATCTGGACAGTGAATCGGCAATGCTGCTTTAAACCCCTGGTATGTGATCAACTTTGGCTGTGATATCCTGTGAGTCCATGAGATGGAAGAACTGCTGAACCCAGTGACGTAGGTGTGGTGGTCCTGTGGACCCCATCTGGTTGATGTGCCACACCACAGTGGCATTGTCCCATTGTACGAGTAGACTGATTGATCATAGAAGTTGAGCCCACTGGGATATCGCTAATATAACTGCCCTGAATTCTATGTGACAGGACTGGTCTGCGGGAGACCACCACCTTGCCACTTGAGATGCTGAAGGTGAGCTCCCCACCCTTGTAGAGAAGTGTCAACATAGTAGTGATGAGAGGGAGCGAACGGCCTCAAAGAGACCCCTCCACAAACGGTTGATTCTACCATCCACCATTGTAGATGGGGATGGAGCATTGAAGATAGTAGGATTGGACTGTGGGGATCTCCAATCCTGATATAAGGACAGAGAAACTGTTATAATGGCCGAAGTCACCGTTGTGCCCTGTGTGTAAGAGCTTGGGCTGACGGTAGCAGCTCTTGCCACTGACGAAGAAGAGTTGAGTCAGTTCTAAGGGAACAAGTTGTTGAATCTTAACAAACCGGTCTCGGGGAACAAAAATATCGTGTCGAGAAACTGGATGCATAGATTTGGGATCAGTTCCGACTTCTTAAAATTGACGAGCCATCCTAACTGGTGGAGTAGCTTGATGTAGAACCATGATGATAGATGTACCATACCACCACCGAGCACAGGCCCTCGTGTCTTTCGAGGATTAAAGATGTCAAGACAAATGTAAAAAATTGGACATGACCCCTGACTCGATATGCTTCACAGTACAATACATCATGACAAGGCTGGACACTTTGGTGTACCCCACCCACCTACTTTGCCAATCGCTTCACTACCATTGCATACAATTGACTTGAACTTAATGTAAACATAATCATGGATGACTGACCAATTGATCACCACTGATGGCACCTACCAATTATTTACTGTTATTTCTGCAAGTCGACTTGACTCTCAACTATCTTGACACTTTGTGATCAGCGATCCTTATATATGGCCGTAAAAAACTCTGAATCGTCTGTAGTTGTGGTAATTACTGTTAATAACAGTAATTACTAGAGAAGGGATGCGTTGATTCATTTACAAGAATCTATTGATAAATTTACCAACTCTATTTGCAACAAATTAACATCTGCCGCTAAGTCCACTTTTGATTGTAAACGCACATTTTATAAAACAATTCAAATATAAATGTAAATCGGCAAGAAAACAATACCAC